AATGGATCCCAGGGGGCTGGAAGAATATCCATGAATGCATGGAGTTGCACAGATGATATTGATAACTAACTGTAATGCTGACACTGGTTTTGTGAAGAGGCTAAAGATTCGCATGTTCATTGCTGTGCTTCACTGCTGGCACCAGAGCAGTGAGCTGAGGGGGGAGACAGGACAGGAGGTGCAAGAGAAGATTCACAGTAAACTCAGTGCCTGCTGAAGTCAGCACTATTGACTGACAGCTGTCACTGCGGCACGTGTGTGTGTGTGTGTGTGTGTGTGTGTGTGTGTGTGTGTGTGTGTGTGTGTAACAGAGCTTCCATCTACCCAAGGCTTAAGTAGAGGGAAGGTCCTTGAAGTCTGTGGCCCTCAAGGGTACACTCATAAATAAATAAATACACTCAGTTGCCAGACCTGCAATAAATCCTGTCTTCCTGAATTTAATTTCATTATAATATGAGGTTTACCCTCATTCATATAAACAGAGTGGGCAAAATATGAGAATATAACACAATATAATTCAGCAGCACCACAAACTGTAGCCTCTTAAATGGCCATATTTTGAAATCCAAACCAATCTAAAACTATCTCAACTAAAACTGAAAGTTACAATATTCATTAAGGTCGGATTTATTGCAGGACTGGGTAACACTTTATTTTACAAGTCTGTAATATCAAGTTTATTTCTGAGTAATTTCCTGAAAAGAACCATATAATGTAGATCTAATTAAAGCTAAAATTAGAGATTGATCAGCTGGTACACTTCCAGTTATTCTTAAGTGCTAAGTTAGTGTAAACGTGAGGCTTTTATTCAGAAGACAAATGGTGCATATGCAAACTGTGAGGTTTGTCTACAAACATGCATTTCAGCCTAAATGAAGAAATAACTAAATGATAAGTGTGAACTGGGGTTTAAAGCGAATAATTGTTTTCATGGAAACCTATCTTGAAGCAGTAATAAGTTCAACGCAACTCAGTGGACTAATTTAAAAAAACAGAACCTTGCCTTTATTTTTCTACCATTATTGTAGTATCAAACCTTTAAGAAATTGTTAGGAAATAGTAGACCTGTAAAGTAAAGTGTTACTCAGCCAGTTCTAAGATTTTGAAACTACATTTTACAGTCTACAAAATATCACAAGTATAAACAACATATGTATAAAATGTATCTGGAACCTTCAGAAAATAAAGGGTCAGTTCAACCAAATTAAAGGAAATTTCTTTTCTTACTCACCTGTAGTGTTATTTAGCTAAGCATATGTTTTATTTTTACTTGAATCTGCATCTGTGAGATGTTGGCAACCACTTCCATACAATGGGGAACCATGAAATTTTGTTTGCAGTGCTCACAGAGCTAAAAATCAATATTACATCTGTTTCTAGCTGAGAGGTCAGTTCCCCTTTGTTCTGAATAATCCACAGACATTACTGATAACAGTTTTTACTGTTTGTTCAATAGAAAGTATTTCCAAAGAAACCTCATCACACCAGAGTTTGTTGATTTTCCAAAGTAACTGGGACGTTGGTGCATTTTAAACATAGTTTTTCAGTGATTTAAGTTAGACAAACTCACCTTACTTGTATTAGGATGGCAGCAGAAATCTTGGAGACAGATATTTTCAAAATCTGGTCAAACAAAACAACTTATTTACATGTTTATATAAGACGATAAGAAAGTGAGAATAAAATGTTTTCTGGAATTTGGGTGAAATTTTCCTTTAAGCTTGGCTCTGTCTTTTCTGCACACATTCATCGAAGTAGGGGTTAGTATGGTATTGGAAGCCAGGTTAGCTCTATCAAATTACATGTTTAAAAGCCAATGTTTCACAAAGGAATATGTCCAACTAATCTGTAAACAATTGGTTGTGTGTTTCTACCTCTACTGTCCACATGTGCATTTATGTTTTCCTCTTTATACTGTATATTTGCATAGTGATGTTCCACCATCCAGGGTGTTGCTCCCAATTTTCTGCAGTGGGTGATGGTGATGACATTCACCATGATTTATTTTCTTGTATTCATTTATAATGTGCTCTACTGGTATTTTCACACATGAACATGGCAGAATCAGGCCAGACTCAGACTCCAAATGTACAGTAGTCTGAGGCTGTAAATTGGCTCCCACTTCTCTAACTACGTCCCTGCAGGTTCCCCATGACAGAACACAGTGTGTGAGTTTAGCAAAGCAGCTCAGAGCACAGTGTGGTTTGAAAAGGAGAGTTTACCCTGTTAACAGTCATAATAGTCTGTGACATACTGTATATTTTATTGGCAAACTAGTTTCAGTAACTGTAAGATATTCAGTGAGTCAAAAGCATATGATCATTATCCACATTTTTTCATGAAAATTCAAAGTGTCCTGTAGCATAATTATAGGAATACTCTTTTTTCCATCATGATGAACAAATATGGCATTAACAAAGATATGCACTTCAGGAGAAAGATCCTAAGTCTCCCAGTTAATCAGTCACAGTCTCATCCAGATGTATTATTTATAGGTTTATAGTTTATTCTCAAGTGTCAGTCATCTAAAATTTGATAAGTAAGTAGAAAACATATTGGTCTTGGATATATATGGAAACCTGTTGTAGGCAGCTAGACCTCTCTTAGTAACAGTCTCTTTTCTTTGTATTTTTTTTTTTTTTTTCAGAAAAAAAGCAATAAATGACATATGTCTTATTTCCCAGATGTCAAGCTTGGCTGGAATTATCCTACTGCCTGCACTGATGCATCGTTCTGGCCATCTATATTACAACAACACCACCAGTTATCACCTTGGATTTATAACATTAGGGAAAGTGAATTACAGTCTCTTCTGAACCTCATATAATACAAAGTCTAATCCTTATATTCTCTGTAAGAAAAATGAAATCCTGGTTGCTTGGCTTTATACTATGCCTCTATTATTCTATGTGTGAATAACAGCCTTTGCTAGTTGTCTAATATCTGATAAGCAGGGTAATTTTCCCTCTCTCGAGTCCACATAGGCTTTGCAGTAATATCCTAATACAAAGGCTATAATCATGCTGTCAGACATGTGTCACGCTAAAGAAAGCTGACATAGGAAATGCAGCGCCTGCAGGCAACCCGGCCTGATAATTGAGGTCAGTTATCAGTGGCAGTGCTGTTTTTTAATTGAAGATTTAATGTTACTTTGCATCCTAGAGGAGGATATTGGTTATTGACCATCTATAAGTCCAGAGCCCTGATCTGGGGCTATTGATCTGTAAGGAAAGCACAGTAGAAACAGTCATGTTAAGGTGATTTTGTGGAATAAGACGAACAAGTCATGTAGATTAGATCAAAACAGAGTGGCCAGGTCAGGCTGTGATATGATGCTACGTATACTTGAAATGCAAAAGCAGAGCCATTGATTTTTCACTGGGGTATTAAAATTCAGATCGTGCCAAACGCGAAGTGAAATGCCATCCAAAGCGGATCTGGTTTTGGAAGACAGAAAAAGGGGCATTGGATTTCAAACTGAGAGATTTCATTCTGTGTTCCTGTAGAATAAAGGCTGAAATCAAGAGATATGGGTCCGGGTGCAGAGTGGAGGGGAGGAAGAATGGCTATGATATTCCTGACAAATTCATTATGTTACAGTCCACCTTGTAGGTTTCTGCTATTTTATTCTTTGCTGTGGTATCAAGACTAATTCCCTTTTTTTTTTTACGAGGTGCTGGAAGTCTATTCACATCTTAACCCCTACTTCCTTTCAGTTCAAAAGAACAAATGTAAGAATTTCATTTTTGTAGCATATGAGTGAAGGCTGATGTCATTTTGACCGGGATTGTAGGTTTCAGTTTACATTAATGGCTTATCTGCCAAGATAGAAAGGCTAAGATGTATGTCTTACACTTTGTTTTTTGTCATATGCAACTTTGTGTATAAAGTGAAAGACTATCACTAAGTACTAACAAAGCTTTTACCTTTAAACCTGTGTTGGAGGACACTCACTGCCCCAAGAGGGAGACTGTTCTTCATCTATCACCTCATGGCTGTTTTGGGGTTGCAGCAACACAGTCCCCAAGCCTCAGTTCTTATGGAGGCAATGTGGCATGCTGCAGAAGTTTACTAAAAATAGTGCTCGCTATAAACGGTGCTTGTGATACACAGCTATGGCTTCCTTCCCATTTCCTTGAGATCCTCTCAAAAGCATGAGACACACATTGAGGGGGTTTGTTTCATTTCTTATATCTGTTATATTGTGGGCTGTGCTGGTATCAGTGGGGGCAACACATAGTAACAATGTTTTTTTCAGGCTAGTGGAGCGTCTGTATCTAGAAAATCCAAAATTCAGGATTAAAATCTCACTGACTGAATAATGAAATAATAAAAGCTGCAAACTGTGTTTTCAGTTTTGTAAAACCTTCATCTTTAGATTCCACCCACTGTTAACAGCATAAGTAACAGTTTTAAGCTCTGTGATTGTTTGTTTCTTGCTGAAACCGAACCAGGAGTCACAGTTGACAACTGCCTGGAAGTCTATGAACATAGGCTTGTACCTTTGAGTTTTTTTAATCAGACAGCCAGACATTTTTCTAACAGAGTTCTTAATCTTTTGGAAGATTAACCAGGAGAATTTCATGGTGATTCAAACCATGAAAGCATCCCATATGTGAGTCATGTAACATTTTGCTTGCAACTGTTGCCAGCAGATTTTATCAGCTTCAGTTAGGTAATTAAGCTAACATTAGCTCCATGTCTTTGTTGAAAAAGCCATCACTGGCTGACTTTTTAAGGTTTCCAACTTGTACCTTTTTAATGTAACAATGCCACAAAATGTCACATTAAATGATAAGATCCTAGCTGCTTATGAAGTACCGCTGGGTCAGGTTTGACATTATGCTAGCAGCCTAGTTGTGGATTTTGGAATTGCAAAAAATAATTCCTACTATATCACGGGACACATGGCTTCAACATGCTGAGAATCTAAATGGAGTCACAAGAAGGTCCACTATTAGTGACTACAATTCTAACCCATTTATTAGCATTTTCACACTTACAATGAGGGATTAGATCAATATCCATTGGCATTATACTCTACCTACACAACATTGTCTATCCAACACATAATGACAACATTGGACAAAAGGTTTTACAGTGGCAAACAGCTCTACACAGTGCTTTCCTCATTTAAGGTCATCTCATTCATAAGACACCATTTTTACCCATCCTACAAAACAACTGAAAGTTACTTTGATATTGCATAATTATGCTCAGGGTGAAATGACATGCAGTGCTGTTATCAAAGCTTGCTCTAAGTAAATGTGTTATCAGTGGAGTATAGTGATATTCCATTGCTAACTCTTGGCACCATCTGGGTACATCCATTAAAAAAAAGCTATTGTGGGCATACAGTATGTGATAGGTTGATCAGCTGAAATGATGTTGCCCCTGAGGTTGCTTTGTTGCTTCAACCAATGATTATATTATTACATTAGCCTTTAGTATGCCTGGTTCCAGCTCTCTGAAGTGAGACTACTATATGTAAGCCCCAGCAGGAGTAACCTGATTTACACATGTGCATACATACCCAACATTGTGCATACTTTACCAATCAATGACTCACGCTGCCTTGTACTGTGTGTGCTCTGCAAGTCATGCTGGCAGGAGACTGGCCATAGTTTTTTTATTATTATTATTTTTATTTTTTTTATTTATTTTTGTACAGTATGTGTCTTAGAGGGTGCAGTCTATTGCCTAAGCAGTTGAATACTCTTCATAACATGATGATAAAGTACCACTTTTCCTTCTTCCTTCTTCTCTTCTTTACACTCATATTTAGAGACGGTACTTTCTCAGGAGCTCTGATTGCCACATGTACTTCCTCTCCGGAAAGTGATCAGGAATCCTAATGCGCCGGAAGTCTTGGATGCATTTCTCCAGCTCCTGTTCTGGAGTCAGCTTCTCCTTGTTTGCTTTCCTCTTTGCGGCCTCTCGCTCCCGAACCCCAAAGGTTCTCACGCGGAGCATGTCAGTCTTGCGACGCATCTCTGCCTGCTGCAGCATGTGAACTGGTCCTTTAGGTAAAGGACGGTCCAGTGTCTGAATGTTGGTCTGCCGTCTCACGGGTCCGCAGATTACGGTTCCCTGAGGGGAACTGGCCTCTGACTGGGTCTCAGAACAGGAAGTGGAGAGGTCATTGAAGGACGTGCCACTCTCTCCCTCTCGCTCACTCTTGTGGCTCTTGCAGCAACAGTCACAGTGAGAAGACGACCACTTTGAGGGCCCACCTGGAAGACACACACACACACACACAAACACACTTGTTAGTTGTTTAAGCAAGACCTTCCTTTATGCACGAACACACTGTAAAATAATGTCTCAGCTGCCCGCATAGTGACAAATGTCTGCACTAACCAAAAGAAACAGCTGTATAGATCAAGCAAATGCCAAGAAATGCATATGCAGCAGTTTCACTGTCACAAATATCTTTTAACAAATATCAGATGAGAGCATGTGGTGGTATGTGTGGGTATTTAGGGGGTACCAATGTAAGAACATGTCATTTATTGACTTTGATATTGAATTGCTGAATCTCAAAGAGCTGGGAGCTGTGCACATTGCTTCCTCTGATAAGGAGAACCCCTGAGTTCAGCGCAGTTCCCTCAAAAACCCTTCCCATTTCGCAAGGCAAAACTTGTCTTGGAGCCAAAGCTATCTGCTTTCAGGTTTCATGGCTTTTTATTAGAACTGTAACTTGGCCACCAGGAAAGGGGAGTATTATTTTCTGGTTTCAGATCATTTATTCGGATAAGTCGAGGAACGCTCTTGCTACCTTTCTACCAAAAAAGGCAGAAAAAGAGATAAACAAAAAAAGAAATTTATCGTGTGTGGTAACGGAATCGGGTCAGTGAATAGTGGAGCGAATGTACCCATAGACACTACAGGTGGACTGACCTAGCTGTCAAGAAATTTTGATGAGCAGGGAATCTGGTACAAGCAGGAGATTTTAGTGGTCTTCATTTTTCATCCTATACCTACTTCCTCCCTCATCACACATCCTCCTACACTGCTAATTGTGAACCAGAAATACTGTATTGTCTTGCCTGCTGGCTTGGGAAGTGTTAATGTAAAGGCAATAAACACTGTAGCTGTCGTTTATTTCTAAAATTATCACTGAACTATGATCTCCTTGTTCTTCTTCTTTTAGATATATAACAGGTAAAAATATGCAGTGTTGAAAACTGCACACAGACTAAAACCTTCTTTAATGGCTTTTTCCAATATGATCATACAGACTCAGTAGCAATGATATCTCAGAAGGTGCAATAATTTCTGCATTACCTCTTTTCAGGTCATACACCAATTTATCCTGAACAGAGTTCAAAGGGGATTTTAACCTCTCTGCACACACTGTAATAATGACCTTATCTCTGGTGCAATGATTGCATTGGGCTGATAGTGAGAGAGTCACTAACAGCTTTTTAATGGCTAATCCATGAGTAAAGAGGCCAATCAGCGCACCAATTTCCCCCCACAGAAAATGAATCTAGCTGAATCCAGCCAAGGAGCAACATCAGGCAAATGGATGCAGGCGCTGTACTGAGAAGGAGGCTGAGCATTGTTTCTAAATGGATGGATGGTGTGGTCCAGAGGGGCAAACTGTTAAGGAAACTAGCCAACACCCAATAATAGTGTCATAAAAAATTTCAGGCCATGCAGGAGCATGAATTGCTTTAAAGTCACTGACAAGCTGAAAAACACCTGGGATTACTTTTTTTTTTTAACAACAGTTTGTCATGGATGTAGAAATGCATGCTGCCATATAGCCTGTAATGCAAAAACAACTTAGTGTGTGTAAGAACCCAACCACAAACTGTATATTTTCAATAAAGTGGTGTAGTGTCAAGCTTTAATGTCCCAGTCAAAGTCAAGGCAGGAAACAACTACATAGTCAGTCTCAGGCAATTTTAAACAAGTGGGTGTGTATAATACACTTTGGTATCTTTTCAGAGAAGCCACTGATTGCACTGTGTTTTTCTCTGAGCTATACAGCCTGTCTAAGAGATCATATTCCAACCACATTAAAAGAGTGGGGCTGGTCCTCAGACCAGACTCAGGCTGTGTCTGCACTTCTCATAAATAACACAGACAGGGAGTTGAATTCTGCACAGAGGCATGCAGGTGTGACACACAGGGTATTCTCAGATTCTTCTTCATCTCCAGTGAAAGCAAGGATGCTTGTCCTCGTGTCTAAGAGCGGTCAGATTCTTCAAATAGAACTTCAGCGGCCTCAGTATTCAATTAAAACGGCATGTTTTTACTCATTTAAAGATTTTAAGTGGCAAAAATGTAGGTCATGATGGGGACTGAAGGCAAGGGCTCTGACAAACTCAGATTGAAATGTCAGTGGGTTTTCATGCCAGTTGTGTGTGTTTTTTTAATCTATGCTCTGAATCTGACTCATTGAGGGTGTGTGATGATTATTTCTTTAACGGCTGTGCTTCTGTCATATAATCTGAGAGCAGCTCGACACAATCATATGCTCAAAGTTGAGAGGCAAAAAATAAATAAAGAGGAACAAGAAACACTCATCACACAGCAATTCCATCTTGTTATTGTGAATGACCATGATGCCATAACGCAATTTATTTCATATTCAGGCTTGAGTGCTGCAAAACAGTCTGCCTCTCAAAGTTGAGTCTCAACAGTGGTGTGAGCTGTGCCTTCAGCCTAAATAAAAGAAAATAGGTTTTGTAAACAGAGTGGCAATTTACATCCAAGTCTGACTAAAAAAAACTAAAACTCTTTACTTCTGAATTCATGAAATGCTGATTTATTCACTTTCATTACCGGCTCTTATATGCCCACACATCCTGTGAGGCTGAGTGACATGAATTATCTTCAAATGCTTTGGTCAAACATAAGGAGAAAAAAAATAAAATCAGCATCTGTATTAGAGATTTATTTTGTCTTGTGGGTTAAATATACATATTCTTGCAGCCATTCAGGGAGTTAAGCTTATATGAATGGAGACATTCTAATCTTAGAGACACTCTTATATTGTCCAGCTCCCAGAGCCAGTTACACAAATATTTTTTTACTCTGCCACTGCCTCAGGAAAAGTGTAGTTTACATGCTTGTTAGTTCACAAATTAGGTCAGCATGTCCTTGCAGCAGAAAAAGGCTTGTCTTGCAAAGGCATTGACCATCCTTACAGAGAGAAGGGAATCCATTTCACTATTTCAAAAGTACTACTTCAGTGGTTTGTGTCCAGACTAACTGATGGCTACAGATGTCCCCTTGTCAGATATAATGATGTCAGTAATATCAGCATATATTTGGATTTGTAAATATGAATTACTTCCACCCAACAATCCTCATCAGAAGCAGTGACAACAAAGAGCTGGTGAGGAATAAGTTGGTCCCAGTGATCTGCTTTTCATGAGTGACAGCTTCACCAGCTGATTGTTAAGTGGCTGCTGTCTCCTCCCAGAGTCAGAAGGTGGCTGCTTGTCCAGTGTCTCCCTGCCAGAGAGATTAACAAGCAATGCAGACAGATTGAAATGCCTATATCAGCCTCTCCCTGTAGGCCTGTCCCCTGACCCAGAGCCACATCCTTCCACTGCACAAGCACTAATGAAGCTAGATGAGGTGATGAGAAAGCAAGAAAGGGAATATTTTCACAGAGCTCTTGTCATCACCTAAGTGATACCACAGGCTAGATAAAGGAACAGGGGCAATTCTGGTTCCTCCCTGTCACCCTGTCCTCATTTCAGTTGTCAAGCACTAACTTAGATTACACTTCTTTGTGGCAAACTTTACTAATCATGTACATAAGGTGAAGGTGCTGCCATGATCCCCCAAACATCACCATGCCAAAACAGTCACTACCCTACAAAGCTTCTCTTCAGCTTCAGAAAACTCTCAGCCCTGCCTACAGTGTGAGGACTTTATGAATCCAAGTAAGTATTATATGTCTCCAGAGGGATCATTAAGGTGTTAGATGTTAGACAAGTTATAGTATCTGTTTTGCAGAAACAGCAGAACCATTGACCAAAATGACACCATTCAAATTCTGGCTAACTCAGTTCTTCTTTTAATGGAACTCATGGGAGGATTGATGTTTTAATGTAGGCATTGGGTTTCATTGCCATCATAATCCATCAAAGTCTATATTTAGTCTTTTAATTTGGTAAAATTGCATTATCATCGCTTGGTAATGAAGTTCTGAAAGCTGCCCTTCTTAATGTGTTCAAGGGCACCTCTGACATCTGTTTGTGAGTCAGCAGTCATACTGTATAATGCTGGAAAATCCCATCAATAACCAAGCACAGACAGTCTGAGAGGAAGACTGTGATTTAGCTTATTTATTGCATGAGTTTATATTTATTTTTAATTAGTCCCAATTTGGTAATGTTACCAGTCCCTGCTTGTAGCTAAGTCAGTGCAAGATCATTTTAATACTGCAGTGGAATGAAGTGATAACTAGCTGCAGCCTAGAAATGTTTTGGAAGAGTTAGAAAACAAATGGCAGTGATGTGAACAAACGTGGAAAACCACAGGCTTGATCCCAAATTCAGTGCATGCTGCTGCTTCAAAAAATGATTGATTTCAGAAACTATATAGCAGATTGTCTCTTTGAACTTATTTAGTGCAGGTTCTGCAACTATTGTGAGAAAAAGTGGCACAAGCAGATACACCTGCCTCACTTCTGACCATTATTCTGCCCAGGTGCATTCTAAGACAAATGTGAGTTATTCATGGGAGTGCCATCCATCTCTTAGGCATTTCTACTCCATCCAGACTCCAACCAGGTTCTCTGGAAATGGTCCAATCTGTGCCCCCATTACACCCACGCAACTGATTGCTTTCACCTTGCTCTCCCTGCCGTCTTGTGGCCATGGTTCAGGAGCCATTACAGACACACATTATCTCGTTCACAACCCAAATGAAGACTGCAATGTTATATTAACAGAGCACACTTGGCAAGTATAATCATTCTCCATCTTGACTGTATGTGTCTTCCATTTTGTCAAGACACTTGTGCACAACTCTTTCAGATGGAGAAAGATGTAACTCTCTCTGTTTGTAGTCCCAGTGCTCAGTGATTTGCTTTGCCGCTGTCAAAGCGGGTTCCAATTTTCTCCATTATATACACATTTTGTCCTTGACAACAGCTAATTTTCATGTCTAAATTTACTTTGAGTCTTTCCCTGTTTTAAAATATAATTTATAATTTAAATTGCTCTTAAAATAAGTTAGCATTTATCTCTCTATGTTAAATCTCCACTGGATGACTGGAGACAAAGAAATAGTTTGGGATTACAGATCAGATTTCTTTCCAATTAGCCAAACCCTAACCTTTCCTCAGAGATAAGTAGCATTAAGGAGACCAGACATCAACTGTGAGGTTATAACTGCAGCAATAATATTGTCAATGCCAATTGAAAATCCCTGTTATGCTATATGACCTACATTTCTGCTTGACAAATAACCTGGATGAATCATCTTTCTTTATGAAGCCCATTTCCACCAGATTACTTTTTTATCTTAAACGTCTGGGCAAGTAAGAATTTTGTTCTCATAGTGCTGATTTACTCTCTCATAGGTTTTACTTCTAGAACTAAGCTTTCTTCTTCTTCTTTTTAACTGGTGAAAATAGACTTCTATACCTATTCATCCGTGAATGCAATACAGTGTAAGATGCTGCAACCAGCTGATACCAACCACTGATCTCAGCCCCAGTCACTCTTATGTGTGCTGGTAGTAAGTTTTGATATATTTCCCTCTAGCTCTGTTTTTTTCCAAAGGGTGAACAAGTCATACCCAGTTAAATGTGAATTACTCACTGTGGCCATCAGGTGCTGTTCATGATGAATGCTCAGACTCTGTGGCCTCCTGGTGAGGGTGCCCTTTTGCTGAAACTATCATTTGTTATTTTTTTAGTTTGTTTTTGTTTTTTTGTTTTTTTGTCTTTGGAGAAACCAGCAGAATGTATCCTATCAGACCTGAGTGGATGGCAGTGGCTGAGTGTAAAGTGTCGTAATTTTATGAGGGAATGAGTTGCTTTAAATCAGATGATACCACACAGTAAAATGATCAATATCTACAGTGGGCATTTTGGAAACTGGAGTCCATGAGAATGACTGAGCGGAGTCTGTAGAAAACCACTGATGCATATAACAACAAGAGCAAAACACTTGATGCTAAGGAACTGACAGGCTGGAAGAATGTCTCTCAGTGTGTTTACTGCGCTGAATTGCTCTTTTTTACACTCTCACAAACACAGCCTCCCAACTTCACTCCATATGTGATCAGATGGCAAGGGGGGAAAGAACAGCAAGGTGTTCTGAGGAAAACAACAACAATAAAGCACATCTGTTTCATTCCTCCACAACCCCTCACCCCATCTCGACTCAAAAGATGCACTAGTCTACATGCGTTCTTAGTGTAGGACTACCTGCCCTAGGCCAGCCAGTGTCCCACATTCAGAATCAGGTTACAGTATTAGTTTTGAAAGTGGATGAGGGCTGCTGTGCTGTTATGAAGTAAAGGCTCTCACGCCTGTCTGCCTTTGATGTGTCTATCCATCATCCTGACTAGGCCCGTTTCCTAATGCTCACTGTGTGTGTTTCCTTTCACCCTCACCTTGTCTGCTCTCTTTTAATGAAAACCAAGTCTCTTCCTCTTCTTCCGTGTCTTGCCACCCAAAATCTTTATCTCTCCGCTCCCTTGGCCTCGATGAATGTTCCTGTCTGATACTTTAATTTATTTTTTGCTCCTTGCTCCCTCTCTCTTCTTTCTGCCTCACTTGCTTCTCCCCATGGCCAGGTCTCATGTAACTTTTACTCCCTCGGCCCTCCTGCTCAAACGCTCTCCATCCTCCATCTGCTTGATTCCCTCTTATTCACTTCCAGTCAGCTCACTCACTTCCTTAAATCCCCTCCCCTTTTTTCTTTCATTTGTTTACAGTGCTCTTCTTACTCTGCATATTGTCCCTCTGTCCAGTAGTGTGTCCTCGCTCTCTGTCTCTCACCCTGTACCTTTCTGCAGGTATCCCTGGCTCTAGAGCTGCATGTTGCTAATGAGCAGCCACCAGCCCAGTGTTTGTTGTTATGTTGGTTGCGTCTTGTTGCTTTCCTTTTCTTTTGTCTCTCCTCTATCCATTCACTCCAACTAGTCGAGGCAGAAGGCCGCCCACCAAGAGCTGGGGTCTGTCAGAGGTTTCTTCCATTAAAGGGAGCCTTTCCTCCCCACTGTCACCAAGTGTCTGTTCAAGCGAGATTTGTTGGGTTTTTCCTCTATAATAGTAAGGTCTAGACCTTACTTTGTAAAGTGTTCTGAGGCAACTTTTGTTGTGATTTGGTGCTATACAAATAAAATTGAACTGAATTCCATGCCTTACTTATTGCAGTCCCCTGTGTCTTCCTCATCCTGCTGTCCCATGTTTTATCCTAAGACAGTCTCTGTTAATAGGGATGGGGGTGAACACCTACACCATATGCTGTGCTCTAAAAACTTGAATGACTCAGGAAATTTCTAAGATGCTGGTTTGCAGGTCAAGGCAGTTGCCACTGTTGTAATTAGCCTGTATTAACAACACTACTGGTAAATCATAAGCAAACCATATGTCATGTCTTCCTCAGATCACCCCTTGCACCTCCAACCCTGACTCACCAACTGGGTTTTCTTCAGTGAATCCAAAGGGAGCCATTCAGAACAATGACCAAAGTGCTTTTTAATTAGCCATATGGTGGAACCCCTCCCTCTGCAAAGAGTGGAATGAACCATGTTTGCAGATAATTAAGCCATTTGATGATGAATAAGCTTTGCCTTTTGTCAAGAACAAACCTGGTTTAAGAGACTGCAGCAGCATTCATGTGAAATTTTACTGCCCACTGGTGCTATATTATTCATAACCCATAGGCTGGCAGAATCTGAGCACTAGCACATGTTTACGCATGATGCATGTGTACTTGAAGTGTAGCATCATTATGACTCAACTCCCTTGAGACCTGTGGGCAAGTTTTCCTCTCATTGCAGACTCAAAACAGAAGTTTAAAGTCAGCCACTATATGGTATGCTAAGATTCATGTAGAATTGCTGTAACCTGATCTTATTGCCTTATTGGTGGTAAGAGTAAACATGCGCCCGTTTCTGCATATCCCCCTTAGATTTAGAACAATATACAAAGACATTCGAGGAGTTTCCTATGGAAACCATACTGACAATTTAGTCTGGGTTTCTTTATAAGGGTTGGAAGGGGCACGTAGGCTTTTTTTAGTGCAGGCCTACTTTGGGCGTTGTTTTCTGTTTAAGTATTGCTTCCATCATGAACACTGAAAGTAAAATCTACTAATAGAAATCATGTAGGTTCTGAATGTAGGAATAAACCATCACTCACGGTAGAAGATGTATTGTGCGTAATTGGACCAAACCCTGTCCTTCGCGTAATGACCGATGGAGGATGCCGTCAGGGATGAATTGCAGGCCACAATGTGAAAACCGTTCTCTGACAGCATGTCGAAAGCTCTCTCCAGGTGCCTGAACTTGAGGTAAAACCTGCAGGTATATCGGTCAGGTGGTCTATCAGTATCTCTATTCTCATTGAGGGCATCTCCAAACACCTCTTTGGCCAAACCAATCCTGCTGCTGATGAAGATTCTCGGTAACTTTTTGGCCTTTACGTCAGTTTGACTCTCTCTGCCTCCCGTGCCGCAAACGCCTCTGTAAGCGACCGTGATGTAGCCGTACCTCCTGTCCAAGGAGTAAGAGGGGTAAAACCTCTGGTCGCTGCCTTGCGACGCATCATCGTAATCGCTGCAGTACAAGTCATCTGGAAATATTTTTGTTTCCTCAGATGACAAAAGTTTGACCAATTCTGGCAGCTGGAAGTATTCCGCCTCTCTTTTCAACCTTCCTCTCTCGGGGAAGTGGTCAGGAAGGACAACTTGCTTGTCTCTTAGATAATCCAACACATAGCGAAAAAGAAAGCCATCTCTGTCAATAAAATAGCGTCCTCTAAGGTCCCGGGACAAGTCATTTGAAGACCCCTTCTTGTTAGAGAAGAGCTTCCCAAGTAGGGAGCTTGGAAGGCTTGTCAAGGTGGCATAACGAGTGTAGTACACCTGTCCACCCACATTTAGTTCAATAACATCCGATGCAGTGTTTTGCACCGAGCCTTGCTCTTTTGCAGGTTGGGTTTTGCAATTTTCGCTCAGTGCCATTTTGCGCAGATTTTGCACGAAACCTGAGTCTCGATCACGGAGCGCCTAGAAGTTCAGGGTGTAGGGTGTAGCAGCATCGTGTAGATGTATTCAGACCCAAAGCATAAGCTTGACTCAAGCTGCAGTCCTCGCATCCGGTGTCTCATGACAAACAATCCCAAGGTGTGCCTACACTGTGTCCTTTAACCCCAGTGCGTAAATATGCATGCCCACGGTGCAACCTTTTTTTAACAGAATCGATTATTACAACCGGCATCATATTACACACATCCACTGCGATGGTTAATTGCTGTGACTTCAAAGAAATGCCGTCTTCACTTCACTCTGAAATTCCCAACAAAAAAGTAAGAATATTTTCTCTCAAGTTTTTACGGTAAGGTTCGCGCGTCTAGCTTCTTTTTCAAACACATCAGTCCAGGATAAATTGAAGAATGTGCGTGCATCTCATCATTCTGCTACTGAGCGTCGCTTCTGACAGCTGGGGCGCTGAAACATGCTCCGAGGCTGCTCCCAGAGAGAAAGGTGGAGAAGGGACTCCGGTGCGCACCCATCTCTCCAAACTGCTGAGTGCGGCAACGCTCTCCCCGGTAGAAGGTTTAAGATAATGTTGCTCCAGGCTGTGCAAGAGAGCGAAGAAAACCGTCCCGTGAAGTAATGTCCTACATCATCTTAAAGGAAAATTCCATTTGCAGGCGATCGTCATAAAACGGGCTGATGTGGGTGCATCTGTGCAGCTTTTCATGAAATTCATTTAGCCATGAGCTACGTGCAGCTGGCAGAGAGGATTCGGGTCTAATGCAGTTTAACTCCCAGCGATGCGTATTTGAAACCCTTCTTCTGAGACTTCACAAAGGCTTTCCCATTTACATTTAACGCTTTTAGCAGGCGCGCTTATCCCGAGAGACGGGTGAGGGGTTAGGTCCCAATCAGTGGTTTGTTCAAAGTGACAGCTACACGTGAAAGAGCTGACCTATAGTACTACTCAACTTCTTTTTCTATCCAAATGCCTATAATGGCTCGAACATAAAGTGAAATTGCTGAAGTTGTTCTTTTGTGCAACCGATTGAACCTTCAAGCACCAGTGTCGCCTCTTTCACTCAGAACACTGTGACTGAATATGTAAATTGTTCCCTTCCTCATCGGTGTGACGGAGGGAATTTTTATTCCAGCACCATGGACAGATCTTAGTCCCCTCCAAATCACAGCTGGTGTTCCATCTGCTCAATAAAAAATTACTATGTAAAATATGCTCACAAAGATCAAATTTTGAGTAATTACTATCCCTTAGTTTTGCATTAGAATGTTTTTGTGTATGACATTAATTTAATGCATAAATGTGAGGACAGGTTTGGTATTAAATTAAGTGCACATTCTTTACAGTTTTTTTTCCAGCAGTTCATCTTGAAGATGGACCATACTGAGGCATTTTATTCCGGATTATAGTAGGAGGAGAACAGGGGTTTGGGACTTGCATCTTATTGCTCTGGGCCTGCTCAGTGAATTTGTCATAGAGTCATCGGTATATTCCACAGTGAAGCCAAGTACTTTAGGGCAGAAAATCCATTTCGCAGGAAGCAAGATGCTTGGCTGAATTTAAGGCTTGACAATGCACACCATCATCTATATATATACAGTTATATATAGGTCACATGGTGTTATTTATAATATGCATAGAAGAAGATGTATGTGGGAGTAAATGGAAAATATGCATTCAGCAGTTCATGACTACTTGAATCTGGGGGGTTAATTTTTACTTCTGTTTGCTTTATATATGAAGTATCATGTCCCTTTTGTGTACTGACCACATCACGTGAAGCCACCCACAGATCTGGGTGACAGACTATTTTGTATCTTTTGTTGTTCATTTTCACCCTGCTTGTTTTTTGTGTTTTGAAGCCATGTTGTAATAAATCAGTGGCTTTTATTGCTGCAGTGCTGAGAGAAGGTGTTTATGATGGGAGAGCACCCTTGACTTGTGGTTTTGAGAAGGAAGCGGTCACGCTTTGCCCTGTTAATTCAGAGTATATTGTGCTGGAGAGGGGTTGCTAAGCAGCCACAGGGGACTGAGTGGGATTCAAACAGTGGGGATTTAGAGCAGTGAGCATACTACTGTTCTTTTTTCTCTGATGTGAGGTTTTGCAGCTCACATTAGACTGTACATGCTATTGTAATACTTTGTGGATTGTGTGACCTTAAAATTAGAGTAAACACCACTGTAGATCAGAAATAACATCTAAAATCATAAGGGGGTGACAATTTAGATTCTAGCTTTTAATAAATTAAGGTGAGCGTGGACTGGTAAAACAGAATGAGTTGGAGTAGTCTTTGCTTGGGGATGATTTTCTTCCCATTCAATGCCTGCTTCTTATTCATCTCACTCATCTTCCCATTAGAGCCCATTTCCCTACCTCTTGTCTTCGCTTTATTTCCTGTTTGTGCACTGCTCTCAGGCTAGAGTCCATCTTTTGGAAGGGGTTGAATTTCATGCAACTTCAGCATGAATAATGTAAGACAATACAGGTCCCTGCTGAGTGTGAGGTAAGGAAATCTCTGTGTGCAGAAGCATTAAATTGAGAAGATTTGCACTTTCTTGCATTAATTTCTGCAGTGTGGCTTGAACAAAAATTTAAAAGGTCCCCTATCTTAAAATCTAAACAATTTTAAAGACAAGTCTTATAAAAAAAATTCTAAATATTACAAGTCCAAACGTCTGCAACTATCATTCCCTGCATTTAGTAGCCTAATGCCCTGTCTTAGCACATTTCTTCTACTCCCGGACACTTTTCAGCTCTTTCCTGATGAAACAGACAACAGTTTTTGAAAAACAATAAGCAATTTGCAGTTTCCTGACCAGTCACAAATGAAGTAACAGTGCTGTAGCCTGTAGGCCTATAGGATGGTGAAAGGCATACATTAATTACAGATCAGTGATCAGTAATGAATATAGAGTGCACCTATAAATAACCTAAAAAAATAACAAAATTATAAGAAATATTAAAATGCATGTCATTATTTATTTAGGAAGCAGCTAATTAGATGTAGTTTATTTTACTGAATAAATTATTTGTTTGCACAAGCTGAGGACTATTTGCCCAGTACCACTGCTCACATTACCTGATTTGACCTTTGTACTCTGTGTCCTGAGACTTCTGCCTCTGCTCTACGATTGCATAAATGAAGTGCAGTGAGATTGACCTTTGCCAGTGAGGTGTGAATGTGTATCATAACGTACTTAATGTTATGCAAAGGGTTAATTAATTGTCCTCGGTTTTTGTTTTAAATACTGTACACAAAAACCCAGGGTTTGCACTTGAACGCAGCAGATAACAAGTTGCAGTTACCGGACAAGGCCAGCAGGTGACACTGCATGTTGTAAACACGTCAGCCACGGGTCTGCCTTCCTCTGTTCTCCATTTTGTATGTTTTTCCTAGAGGTTAGCGCTTACTTTCGTAATGGCTAGCAGCGAGTCAGCATAGCTCAGCCAGTTTAAGGCAGTTTGCTTGATAGTTCAGAGCTAGATCGAAAGCTTAAACCACACATATCCTTACTTAGTTTGGCGTTTTATATAGGTATGTAGTTAGGATACGACGCACAGAGAGTAACGTTAACACACACTGAGTCAGTGTTGCGGGCTGTGGACCGCCTCTTTCAACCAAAACAATGTTGACAGACGACCTGTGGACGCCTATCAAGAAACAGCCATTTCAAGGGTAAATATGACCATTTATTCATATTTGAGTCAATACACGCGTTAGCTGAAGACGGATCCAGTGCCGTAGCACATGTAGGTTAAAGCATAGATCTCAGTTCTGTTACCTAGCATGCTAACATTACGTTACTGCCAACGACACTCGAGTGAAATGTTGGCAGGTAGCCACTACTTGTTAGCCTCATTGCTACCTAGCACACCAACAGTTAGCAATAAGCTAACGTAAGTATGTCTTAGGGTTTGGTAAACTTTAAGGCTCTAAATATCGGAATGCAACTTGTAGTCCAACCCTTGTTATAGATGTTTACTACCGTTATAATATACATGGTGGACGTGTTAATACGCTGGTGTGAAGAGTTTGTTAACGTTAATGGGAACAACGTTAGCCAACACGAAGCACATAACTGCTGCGTTGGCTCTCAAGGGCGCGCAGGGGGGCATGTTTGGCAACGCTCCCTAGGTAGCTAATATATTCACCTATCTTATATATTGACCTAAGTGCACTAGCGTTTAAGCCCGTCTGGTTTTACTGTGTCGTAATGTGATTGCTATGCACGCCATCTCGTCCTGTCTGTTAACGCTTTCTCTGTCCCCCCCCTCCCCTCTCCTCCCCTCTCCTCTCCTATAAAGATGGATGTAGGTGGAGTGAGGAAGATAACATATAGAGGAGATGACCATTTAAGCAAATTGGTCTACACTGAAAGCCCTGAGGAGGGAGGTCTGTTGAAGGTGGCTCCTCACAGTGCCATGTCCATCACTTCTACCACCTCTGTTGTTATTCCATCCAGCCCGTTGATGCAGCCAGGACAGGTACCTAACGGCCTCTGCAACAGCCCCCTTTCAGAGGAGCTCACATCCGCCACAGTCACTGCCACCGTAGGCTCCTTGTTAGAAGACCCAGAGCACAGGGGCCTGACCACAGATCAGAGGTCTCAGCAACAGCAGTTACTCCAGACACAGTCATCTGCAACATTTGGGCGTCAAAATTTGGAGGTTAGTATGACAGACATTTCCCAGGCCTCCATGGATTCACTTATTGGGGGATCAGATCCCAGCTTCTTTCCCATGAAAACAGAGGATTTCTGCATTGATAAAGGAGACCAGGATCCCATCGACCTTGATCATGCCTTTGAGCACATTGGGAAAGATGTAAATGTGACCCCGTCATTGGTCAGTGATAACACTCTGGACCTGCTCCAAGAAACTGAACTCATTGGGTCCCCCTCAGATTTTTATGTAGGAGATGATGCCTTCCTGTCCTCTCTGGCAGATGATTCTCTTCTTGGGGACGTTGTCTCAGAGAGGTTTGAGAGCATTAACAGCAATGGGGCAATCCCTATTGCTCTCAATGGCAGCATTATGACAAGTCTGGATCAGTCCAGCACTAACGCATCCACAGGCTCCCCTCTAACCCCTGCAGCCACGTTGTCTGCACTGGTGAAAAAGGAAAAAGATGCTGGCTTCATTCAGCTCTGCACCCCAGGTGTGATTAAACAGGAGAAAACATCTGCAGGTCAGAGTTATTGCCAATTGAGCAGCATGTCCTCCACAGACATGGCTAGTTCTAACCCCATTTCCATCTGTGGAGTGAGCACTTCAGGAGGACAGAGCTTCCACTTTGGAGTTAACCCCAGCAACAGTGATACTGAGCAGCATAAGGATCAGAAGCCAGTGACCAGCATGTTTCTACCAGTAACAAACATCGGCGGGGTCTGGAACAGAGGCCAAGGTGGTGGGGACAACTCAGCAATGCAGAGGGCCAGTGAGGCTTTCTCATGCTCTCCCTCGTACCCCACCAGCTTTGTCAGGTAAGAAATGTAGGCAGCACTCAGCCTGGTGGTAATCTTAATAACCAGAGCTAATACATGCACTTGTTGGTTGATTTTAGCTTACACATGCTCACTGCCTAGGGTGGTTATCATTAATTATAACTGCTGGCTGCTGCTTGTTTGTTCATGCAACTTTATGGTTCACTTGCTCATTATTTTGTGTGTAAGATAAGTGTTATAACCGAGATGTCTTTAGCAGCTCATGTAACCTGAGTTCACTAAACAAAGATTCAGAAAGGGATGAGGCTTCATATACCCAAGACCAGTCTATTTAAAAGTGCCTTGGTCAGTTCAACTGGAGCTCTGTTATCTGGTTTCACAAATCAGACAACATGTAACAACAAGCCACAACACTGTTCACTTCCTAGTTTTTCAGATGTCACGTTGGATTTCAGGAAACTGGGGAGCAGTTTTTACTCTTTTCACAACATCGTGACACAAATAATAACTTACTGACTGTAATCCATAGATACATATATTACTGCAGTAGGTCTGATTTGCTGGCCCAGAGTCGGCTGTGCAGACAGAGGCAGGCTGAATGAAGCAGTGCCTGGACAAGTTGAAGAGCAAATTAGACGGTGTCTTCATTAAGGTCGTTCTCTCACAAAGCTGGTTACAGTGTTTCCCACAGAATTACATTCTAATTGTGGCAGTAGCTCAAGGAGAGAGGGGTGTCATGCTTTCATAACTTTTTAAAGTTAAATATAGCAATGCTATAGTGCTGTTGTGCTGTTCATCTGACCTGTCCCTTCTGCACTAACTCACCCACAGTAGCAGTGTGTTGGCTGCTGCCCTCCTCCAACATCTCTCTCTTCAGCTCTCTCTTCCTGGCCCTCTTTTGCTGCTTCAACAATAAATCAATAAATATTCAAAACAAATCATTTGGATTGCTAATCAGACTGATCAGCTTTCCCACATGTTTTTAGATATTCACCTGGACTGAGGTGCCAAACATTGAGCATTAGAGGTTATGAACTAGCATTAACTTTATGCCCTTACAGAACATTAATGATCTCCAGAAGATCATTGGAGGAAAGAATATTTACCCAAGTACTATACTTAAGTATACAGTGGATTTTAAAAGTATTCAGATACCTTTGGGTTTTGGAGATTTTATTGTGTTGTGGATTCAGTTTTGAATGGTTACAATTGCAGTTTCTACCCGTTGCCATACACTTAATCACCCATGATGACAAAGTGAAACCATGGTCTTAGAGTTAATTAATTAATTAATTAATTAATCAAGAATGAAAAACTGAAATCTCTTACACTCAAAATGATTCAGACCCTTTATTCAGTACTTTCAGCCGCTTTGGCAGCAATTACAGCTGCAGTTCTTCGATATGTTTGTACAGGATTCACACACCTTGATTTGAGCAGTCTGTTCATTCATCATTCTTGTGTAGTGCAAATGCTTAAAAGTACATAGCCTTACAAATGTTTGCATGTTTTGCAAAATGCTGATGACAGCACTTAGCTCAAAGCACTGATGTACCTGCAGCCTCACAAATCCACTAGCATGCCTGTAGTAGTTTAACAACGGATATTATGAAAATGTCATCTTTAATGACGTTTTGACCAATAATCATACATTTAGTTAGTGACCGTTTTTGTAAATAGTCAAAACAAGTTCAACAAGATTTTAAATCTAAATATAGTATTATTTCACAAACTCAGAAATAGAGTTTCTGGAGTGTATGTTCTGCACTGAATTCTCGATAAAATACACTAGTGACAACTGTTTACTGACATAAAAATAGCTTTAAATTATGAAGCTGATCATTGTACTTCATTAGGGCAAAATGGGAACTATTACTTCTTGCATAGTGTTATCTCAGTTATAGTTTGTATAGATGTATTTATTTTTTTTTTTTACCAAGTGGCCTAATTTTCCTTTGAGCTTCACTCATTTCAGCACGATTTAAAAATATCCAATTACATTTTCATTTATTGCAGATGTAAGCATCTGGAGCTAACTGTGTTTTTTTTATTGCCCAAGTGAAACACTTCTGCAGTATTTCTGAACTATAATGGAACAAAAAAATCATTTCATGGGCTGTAAATACGTTATTATGGTCTTAGGTGTTTGTCATTTTCAAGCAGACCTGGTGTTTTTGTCCAGTTCTGTGATTCTGTAGGATTTATGACTACCTTTTCCCCACACAGTTGATGGATGAGCAGTCGGGCATTTTCTGTTTTGATAGGCCTGAACAAAAACCTCTCCCCACAGGTTAAGTTTGTGGTGTTGGTTAATGTTATTAATGATTTAAAAGCAAGCCATCACCCTGAAGTGAAAAAGCCTGGGTTAACCCCCATTTTAGCTATTTACTACCACTAATTTGCTTTTTGAGTCAGGTTCATGGACTCCACAGGACATGGCTGCAGCAGTAAGCACTGAGGTCTGGAGTAATAAGTTGTTAAAATCTTTTTTTTAAAGACTAGGATTTTAGTTTTTGTTTCTGCCAGATTGAACAAGCCTGAGCATCAGCGTGTATGTTTATGTCATGTTCAGTTTTTTCCTCTGAACCAGATACTGCCATTGTTTTTCGTTTTTTTCTTACTAGCTCCTGCCCCTCTGTCATGGCAGTGTCCACACAATAGTGGTTAATGAGGCCATTTTGGACAGATGTCTTTGATCGTCCAGGTGCATTATGCCAAAAATAAACCAGCGATGTGCACCGTCTTCAGCTGAAGCAGATCTGTCCCCAGGGAGTGACTGAGGCACCCCATTCAACAATAGGGATGGATGAATTGTGGGCTTTTAAGAATGGTTAGGTCTGTGCTGTTTGAAAGGAATGCTTGCGGTATAGAGACTGGTGAGAATGATTGCTTGTTCCACTGACTCGTGTGGTTTTATTTACCTTATTTTCAGCAGACTTCTTCCATTCAGATAAATCTAGAGTATCTAGTTGCACTTTTTGGACTGCACTCGGCTTGACAGTGTCTTTTTTTTATAGTTATTACTTTACTTCACTGTATAGATTTATGGGTTCACCACTGAGCATGCCTTTGGGACCCAGTCATGAAGCAGCTCAAAGAAATCCTTCATCAGCAGCAGTGTGACAGAATCACGTCCTAGAGGCTTTTTGTTTGTGTCTCTTTTATATTCAGCCTGTCTGATTGACAGTGTCTGACAGGGAGCGATCAGCTCGAGGACTGTCATGCGGAAGTACATCATGTCATCAAGGGCACAAATGCAGTTGTTTTACTTTTTGAGCAAATGATGTTTGCTACTATCTTCGTGTCTAACAATCATTCTGTTGCCTTGTGGCCAGGAGCAGATGGGGAGAGACACAGGATACACCTTTTTTATACGAGTGGCTTTAATCACCTTGTCTTTGTGTTATTTAGAGGTCTGTGTGTGTGTGTGTGTTTAAGGATAGGATTATGTTTGCGTGTGGTGTGAGCCCAGATAATGTGTGGGTGTGTGTCTGCTCAGGTGTCAGCTTATTAGTGTTCTCTGTGTGCATTTCAATAATTGGGAGTGGAAGTTTGGGCTTTTTTTGTGGTTGTAATTTGCCTCAACCTACATGACATTTAGTGTCTTAATCTCAACAGAACCCAGTGCTGTGGTCGTTCTGTGGTTACCATCAGGTCACTGTGCACTATAGCTTCTCACGCATTGGTGCTGCCTCTGCTTTCTGCTTGGGCTCGGAGGACCTTGCATGGCACTGAGTATCTGACCTGCCATAGCCTCAGGAATTTGCTGCATTGCACCGTGCAGGTCCTCTAATGTAACCACTTGTCTCCCTCCTCACCCGTGCTTTCATTTTCCATACCTCATCTGTTCATTTACTGCATCACAGTTTTATGACTCAGTTTTACGATGTGACTCACAAAAACCCGTTCTCACATAGCTGTGTTCTTATTTTGGGAAATGCACACCCTCATCATTTGATTACAGGTTTTGATGTGGCATGATATGGTTAACCCAGAGTTGCACTGAAGGAAAATTACTGCACTGAATCGAGGAGGAATGCAGGAATCTAATTCCTCTGGTAGATAATCTCACAGCTGCCTTAGTAAGCCTGTGTTATATAACCTTTGTTTTTAGTGTGGCATTTCCCCATTTGTCTGTGCTTGGCCCAGCCCATAGTGTGGTGTTTGTGTAAGGTTTGTAGGTCAGATCTAATGACTTTGCCTTATATCCTGCTGCTGACTTTAGCCTGTGCCCCAGTTTGTTCATCAGGACTCTTGATGAATATGGTGGATCATATGCCTTATAAAAAAATTAGTGCTCACTGTAGGTTAGACTTCTTGGCAGTGATTTAGTTGTATGTAAAGGAGTAGCATTGTTTGCAGGAGTTATAAAACTGGCTTAGTGAATAGAGCTGTTCTCACATGTAGACAAAGCAGTATTGTGTAGCTTAGGCATCTAGTTTTATTTACTTGTTCACTTCCTAGTTTGAAGATGTCACATTGGATTTCAGGAAACTGTGGGAAGCAGTTTTCACTCTTTTCATAACATGCCACAAATAATAATTTACTGACTGTAATGCATAGATATGTACATTACTGCAGTAGCTCTGATTTGCCGGCCCAGAGCCGGCTGTGCAGACGGAAGCAGTTTTCACTCTTTTCATAACATGCCACAAATAATAATTTACTGAAGCAGTTTTCACTCTTTTCATAACATCATGCCACAAATAATAACTTACCGACTGTAATGCATAGATATGTACATTACTGCAGTAGCTCTGATTTGCCGGCCCAGAGCCGGCTGTGCAGACGGAGGCAGGCTGAATGAAGCAGTGCCTGGACAAGTTGAAGAGCAAATTAGACGGTGTCTTCAGTAAAGTGGTAGAACTCCAGAGAATTTCACATGTGGGAATATTGAGTCAGCTTGTGACTCACTGCTGAATAAAATACTTGGAATGCACTCAACACTTTTACTAGTATCTTCCCATGTTGGTTTCCATGACTCCCTCATAGCATAAACATACTTTAGATGCTAACCTACTTAACTATGTACTGTATGT